ACAGCTCAAGTTGGGCACACACCATAGTTAACCAGAATATCGGCGAAACTTTTCCTCTCTTCTTATCTGCCAAGCGTGGAACGCCCACCCAAATTGCGTTGATTCCGCCCACACTGTATCTGTGTTTAAAAGCGCCTTGAAGTTGTCCTAACCCACCTACAGTACAAGATAAAGCCTTTGTACATCATTAGAAGATAAAATGTGATGAGCGTTGTACAGCCAGCGTTAACCTACACAATCAAGTTTGGCTCTCTTATGCATGTCTCTGTGTGAGTACTGGTGAGTCCACCAAAACGAATTTCATTTGTTCACTGTGTTTCATCAGTTCGTGGTTCTCATTCTGGTTCTCCTACTGGATTTGAATCGCTTCGCCCGTAATACACCATTGTTCCGTTGTACTCCCAAACTTTTGATTATGTTGCTTTTCCCCAACAATCCTACGGGACTTGTCAAGCAGCAACTTCCAACCCGCGATAGAGTGATGGCAATCTCACTACGAAATATCTACCCTATAGACTGCACTGGACTAGCGGGTTCAGGTACTTCGAACTACGGCACTGAGGTCCTATAGTGATCGAAATGACTAGGTGTCACTTCACTGCGAATCGCGGTCCACCTTCCGGTTGCGCGTCCCAATCCATTCACACAAGGATTGTTGCACCATGACCTCTGCAACCAGTCATTCACCGCTGTGACAACTGTTGCTCGTCGTGACTCACTGAATGGAGGAGTAGAGATTAAGACTAACACCAAAGGTTCCGAGTTGGATGTCTGCTATTTCTAACGGATAAGAGTAAACAAGTTCGAAACCAGTCGTAGGGTGTGCAAGGTTTCCGAGGCGGGTTACACACAATATTCAGCTGCAAAAGTAGGAGTACGTTTAATGCTTGGTGAGGTATGGTTAGGACCCAATGCTATTTAACTTAGAATAGAAAGTCGAACACTATAACTTACCTGCATATTGTGCTCCAACACAGAATGACCACCTGCTGCATTGATAAGCTCTCGTAAGCCAATGATAGACCGCCTAAAGTTTACTACATTTCGCTTGGGATATCAAGTTACAACGAATAACATATGGGCAAAATGATGGTCGCCTGCTCCAACTGGACCTGGACGATACTTACAACTGGTCAATGAGGAATATACCATATCTATTGCCGGAAAAATGCAGCTTCCCATATACGTCGCCAGCCAAATGGTTAATTACAGGCTTGGAGACCATCCTTTTCAGTCAGGCCCCAAGGAGTGCAACTTTAGGTTATTGGTTTAGAATGACTTCGGCTGCTTGAAGTAAGCCGTGCAACTGTCAAAAGCCGATATCCTACGCCCTGGTCTCTTACTACGGGTGTTCCGGCGGTTCGACGTTTCCATCATTCTGTAACTGCTAGGAGTGTACATGAAGCCGCATGTAGAAGGAGTCATCCAGGACTGACAGATATGGCAGAAACACGTTCTCGTTACTACCGAGACCCCGCATCTAAAGTCAGTTGAGAATGTTATGGGCTTGTTCTATTTATCATACAGACTTAGACGTAAAGCCTAAGGAATGTACAAAGGAGGGTGCATTCTTCCAAGTAGTGACCTCGTATTGGCCTGCAGAGTTTTGAAAAAACCTAGGCACTTTTGTTGACATCTCCTGAACCTTGGTCACCTCACAAGCAGACGAACTTAACCGCGTGATATCGACGAATGAATTGTCCCCGGGATGTTTTACGCTTCTAATTTGCCACACGTGGAAGGCTGTCCCGGCTTACGTAATTTGTGCTGTTAGGCGATTTTTAATTAAAAAACAATTTGATGATGCATTTGACTGTTTATATTACGTGAAACAATCCATGTTTATTTGACGACGGCGTATCGTAAACGCTATGCTCATCAGCCTCACTATGAAATCGAGGTCTGTAGCTTCACACCAACTTTCTTGTATACATTATGGTGAATGCATAGAAACTGGGTGCATTTTATTGGCAAAGTTTATTTTGAATATGTATTTCCACTTTTTTCATTGATAGTTGATGAAAATAGTTAAATATGCCGGAAACCGCTGGAGAAATCTGTACCACAGCAAACGGAATTTGGCCTAAATGTGCTTACTTGGAGCAGTAAAGTATAGTGAGACAATTCCTATGGTACGCCATTGTTTGGCTTATATAGTTCAGGGGCATTTTGCGAGCAGTACTAATTTGCACAAGTACCTAAACACGATAATCAAATGGTAAATACCATTAAAGGAAGATATCAGATGCACCTAGACAGTGTTTACTAATCGGTCTCGATGCGCATGCCACGTAAGTTGAATAAGTAGATAGGCTTAGTTCTCAAGGCTGTTTGATAGAGACTTATAGCTCATCCTCGAGTTAATCGCTATGCGTAACAACGTAAACTGAAGTAGTTGTCAGATCCGTACTTCTGGCTGCTTAAACATGCACGTCGATGAGGTGGGATTGGCGTATGGCTCGTAACAAACATTTCAGCATGCCGTGCTATTTCTGTGACATTCTAAGTCGGTGTGAACTTAACCATAGCTATTGTGATACGTAAAGGTGTATGCTGTCACAATACGTCATGCTACATTTCACCCAGGATCAGTGCAACTTAATCGCTTTTGACCAGTTACCATTTTATCTAGAGTCACACACTACCGTGGAACATCAGAGAGATGGGGCCACGCGTGCATCTTCAAAAAGTGCGCAAGGATTCCTGCACAGTTGCACTGACGGGTGCATCAAGTACAGCCTACTTATGGGTAAACACTAAACGAAAATGTTGCCAGCTGTAGTCACTAGTGAGTCAAGGACCGTGGCACATGGGTTTCTACGTACCCAAACCAGAACCGACCTCTTGGCACACCAAGAGAGTGGCCAATTTTGGTTGAGATGGTAAACTTATTGGACTGCTGGCCAATGAAGTAAGCAAATTGTGCAGTCTTTTCCAACCTTTTGTGCTCTTCGTACTGACATACCTAGTCTTCACCTTTTTGCGTATGAAAAGCAGCTTCTCTAACCCCACCTCTTCATTGTGGTGCATATCGACGGCCTACATATCGCCCAGCGAAAGTACTGTACTTATCCACGTTAATGGCGTTATATTCTTCTTAGTTTGAGGGTAGTTATCATGCGCAGTCTTGAACGGATTATTTCAGCATCCCCACACTTATCTCCAGTAATCAAGGAATAGTCTATTCACAATGCTTCTCGCAGACACCATTGATTAAGTTGCTATGTTCGTCACAGACAAACCAATCACAACTTCGTACAATGGCGTAGTAGAATAAGCATTTTCGTTAACCTAATCAGGTGATACGCCTAGGCTATGCTCGTTGAGGAATCACTGACTGTGCATGTCATGCAACTAGGTGAATTCTGGACTCAGCGAGATATGCGTAACCGCGAATATATCTAATCATTTCCTTAGTTCATTCCAACGTAATGGAGGAACACGATCATTATCGAAATTCCATTTCCTTTGGCCAAACCGCAGCTAACAGCGCATGCAGATGGCCTGACACCCCTCAGTGAAAGCTATGCATGTTATCCAGGTGAAATCCTAACAACGGACTGTACAAATAAGTGGGTCGAGTAAATGTTAGCAAATAAACAATACTGTGTGCCACAAAGTGCCCAGGGAACCGTTGGTAAAACTGGACATTGCACCTTCGCCAAACAGCGAGACCGCCACTACATTGTCGGAATTTCAAGTGACGAGCTACTAACTAGTTAGTATTTAACTAGTACACAGCTTTAGCTTCCCGGCTAATACTGATCGTAGCACGATAGCTTGAATGCAAACGGTAGTTTTGTTACTACAATGTCCAGATTCCAACGAACCGGAGAAAGCGAACACAAGTCATTGATGTGAAGCGGGTTGTGCCTTGTGGACCAGAATAGATCAACTCTTATCTGTACACTGTCTCGATAGAGTACTGTTCAACAACCAACCTTTAGCTTGAAGGCAACTTCATGTTCACGAGGGTGGTGAGTGCACCTTCAGAGACATTCTCGCTAGTAAAAGTATTACAGAAATTGTCAGCTAGCCCAGACATCGGAAGAAGACTACATGGGTAGTATCTACAGAAAAATATGCTACTTATCAAGACCAGACAGCGCATGCAGACAGGAGAAATAATATACTCACTTGAGGATTGGCATAATGAGTCTTTAAATAACCTTCAAATTAAGAAACTTTCACCAGGTATGGTGAACCATTGATGACTGAGACCTTTTAGTAGTGGATAGCATAAAGTAGAGATAACTTATACTCGGCTACCAGCTGATCCAAACATACACTACTAAAGTATTAAATCAAAAGTCCCCACAACTATCTGAATCGCCCTGTTATGCGCAGTGGTGTAAGGTAAAGGTCGACGTCCTAGGTACCGCATAGTTTAAGTGCGTAGATTTAGTTCGTGAAAAAGAAGTTTGATGCTGAGCGCTCCCAACGTCAGCTACGTCGAAACTCCACTTCAGATGCTGACCGAAGTTCACTTCAAGGTAACCTGTGGTCCCAACCGGGCTTTTGTGCCTCAAACCAGACCCACGGTGAGGAAGTCAAGGCCTAACAGTTAACTACAGCCGGGTTCGTCAGGTAAGCATTGTCTCATGTGTTTTCAATGGGGAAACACTGTCGTCTTGTGGCCATTGCGCTGAAATTGTCGACCGCACTCATCCACTGGGTAAAAGAAACCAACAGATAATCGATACACTTTTTATACAAAATACAACTGACTAACTCACCACTGGATTTTTGTGCAGCATTCGCTTTGCGGTGCAGCTTGCAACATATATGCCTTGGGTAAAGGAGACAATAAAATCGCTCAAGTCTACGCCAACACAATGATATACCATCTACTGAACCTTAATGAAATCAGCGTAAGTGCACGCTGCCTGTAGCTGGCTGTGAAAGTCAAGTTAGCGCATGCCTAATAGTCGGACAGCGGGACTAATTATAAGTTCAAGTACACAGAGCGAAGAGCATCGATAGTCACCTTGCAAGGTTGATTATCTAATCACACTCTCAGTTAACAAGTTTTTGATCATAAATGTAGCCACAGTATCTCTTACTCTCGGGAGCACAGCTGGAAAATCACAGCAATACGGGGAACCAGTGCTCGAACGAGCAAACGACTCCTGCGGGGAATTAACTGAGTCATCGCACCTGTTCACGGATGCACGGAGGTCTTGGTGCTGGCGTTCATCGTCCAATGGCCTGACGCTGAGGTTCAATGGTAGCCGGCACTTCTGTTCTTGTAATTTCATGTTTTCATCTGGAGCCATCATTTTCATGTAGGCGAGAAGAAATGGAGGGGGTGGGACAAACAGCTTTGAACGAAGTGATTTAGCTAAACCTGCGCCGGAGAGGATAACAGAGGATACTCCATTCAGCGTCGGTGTCACACAAGCATGGGTTTGACTTAGCGTTGTGTAAGCTGCTGTTTCATCAGGTAGATAAACAAACGAGTTCTGCGTAGCTTCAGATATTTGCGATGTGGACTGGACGAGAGATGTTGTCGACGGAGCAGCGGTTGACGTGTTTATCGGAGCAGGCAAACCCCGGTAACCGACCGCTAGTTGCATTCTCTTGTACCGCTTGCGTCTGCGTAAAAAGCTACCATTATCGAACATGTCTTCAGAATTCGGATCCAGTATCCAATAATTCCCCTTACCGGGATTACCTGGTTCACGCGGAATTTTGATGAAACAGTCATTCAAACTGAGGTTATGTCTGATGGAATTCTGCCAGGCTGGAAATCGTTCTCGGTAATAAGGAAATTTGTCCATGATGAAGTTGCAGATTCCGGACAGAGTAAGTTTTCGCTGTGGTGATTGCAAAATAGCCATGGTGATGAGAGCGATGTAGGAGTATGGGGGCTTGACGGAAGTCAGTTTTACGTCAGAACTCAGTGGTACACAGTGGGAATTCGGAGGGGGAGGGGTTTTTATCCTTCGTGTGATTTGCGAAGTAACCCCGTCGTAACCAAAGTTGCCAAAAGAGGACCGCGGCTCTTCGGCCTTAAATTGTTGACCATCTTTGGAATGGGTTGATTCGATGGCACTTACCGGACTTCCCGTGTGCTGTTCAACACCGGCCCACCAGGGGGATAGCCGGTATCCCAGCGTCTCGGTTTCCGCTCGTCTTATGGATGAAAACGGGTCACACTCAAATGAGTGGGGTATGATAGATTCCATGTAGACGCTAAACCGGTTGTCCATAGCATGTAATTGATACAGCAGCCCTTCAGTAAAAACGCATTCAGAACAACTGCGAGGGCAGTAACAAACTGCTGAGCGGCTTCTGTTTATCCATTGGAGTTGTGAGTTCTATTGAGCCAAACAATAGGGTATTCAGCAACAGAAATAATTTTTTCGCCGGTTTATGCAGTCCACTGACTGTCCACATTGAGGACAGGATAGGTCATTTGCTTACAACCCTCCAACCACAGCATGTTTCTTCTGCACCGGGGAAAGAAAATCTGAGGACCGTTCGTCACTTGGGTAAGGCGTGAATGAAAACACCCAATCAGAATGCAGAAGTCTGCGTCTGCACCGCAGTGCTGGCCAGGGTATGGAGAACTAAGACACATCCAGTGAAGCAGGTATCCGGTGAAATCATTGAACAATAGCTAACTGATCTAACTCGCAGTTCAGTTGCACAACCGATGGCGCCGACGGCACCGGTGCCATGCTCAACTGTGGCAGGATGCTGCCTACTTGCGCTAACACTGGCAGAATCGAAAGTACGAGAAGTAGGCATTTGAATTAGTGCTTACAGATGCATCTCCAAAGTAAATGGGTTTGTTTATCATAGGCAACTTCAGCGGTAAGCGATGCATAACAGTTTGATGTGGTGACCTTCTGAACAACTGCAACATGTTTGCTGCAAATGGGTAATGAATGGGGTGGCGACCACCGTTCAAATCCTAACAAGGCAGGACATTTTCATTTCTTGAGAAAGTCGGTTAGTCGACAGGAACGGCCAGTGAAGCACATAACCGGTTATCAGTTCGCGATCTGCTGTTGAGATTCCTCAACGATTCCTCTTAACGATTTTTACGTGTAAATATTCATGTACCAAAAGCCTGAGTGTGATTGATGCCTTTGAACTCGAGACCGCCAGTCTAAAGCTCTGTGCAGGAGGTTGCCAGGCTGCCCTAACAACTTACGAATTATGGCGTCCAAATTTTGTCCGCATCCTACCTTGGACGCATTCCCTACGAGAATGGTGGATATACCGTTGGCACACTGGATTAGACTCACGGTGCAACCAAGGCGTCCTCCCTCAGAAACTTAAGATCGAGAACGAACAGTCTTTTTGTGGGTAATCATGTTGTCTGGTTAGCAAACCAGCGAAACTATTTTAAGGCCGTTGGGCAGTACGGATGACGGTGAGGCGGTAGGAGTTAGCGTTCATTTGGATGCAAGACGTCTGCAAAGCAGCCGATTCATCGATCTGATTGGCTACAGCTACAAACACACAAATAATAAAGAACGGTTGTCAAAAAGTAATGTAAGGCGGTATACTACCTACCAGAACATTGGTGCTGACGTCCACATGGCTTCCCCTCCAAGGCACCCTGATAGCTGCCGTGCACATGTTGAAAGGGACACCGCGATCTCTGTTTTAAAACCAAACCTGTATATGACTTCATCTTACACAGGTTCAGATACCTTTCGTATTAGTTGCTCCAAGCTTTACTGGTCACAATGCTGGAGCTCACCGGGGGGGTCACTATGTTTATCAAGGTGACAACAATTGCCTTGAGGAAGGGTAAACTCGACAACACATCAGTGTCTTGGCCATGTATGTACATTCATGAACTACCCTGTAGCGCACGCTTCGCCCAAACATCGGTGCCTACAAACACATAAGGGGTAGTTCGGTCTGTATGAATTCAAACACACATCAGTTGTGATCATGTCAGAGCTGCCATAATCTCTGCGGTTCAGTTATATTGTCATTGGTTATCACAAGCCACGGTCTGGCTGGCGATGCGAAGAACACGTGTGTGCATAAAAGTGCCTGTTATCAGGCGAACCATCACTTGCTCGCGTATACACGTTACAGCTGTGTATTTTACTGGTCCGTGTTCTTACAATACTGGTGAAGCACGAGTCGAACCCACGATGGCCTCCATCGGAAACCTGATAGAATACACTGAGCGATCTGGTTCTTGGAAACATTACAATGAACGTCAGAAATGTTTTCTCTCGGCCAATGCAATTTTCAATGACGACCACAAGGTGAGCATCCTACTGAGTATGTGTGGCTCACGAATAAGTTCGCTGACTGTTGACTCCGGAGTTACCATGCACGAAACCATTTAATGAACTGGACATACTAGTCCCCAATCACTACAAACTAAAACCATCAATTAGTCGGCAACGATTTATGTCAGTTATTCCCTTCATTGCTGAGCTTCGGAAGTTTATGAGATATTGTGATTTCGACAACCGCCAAAATGGTATAATGAGGGGTTGTCGGATGAAAAAGGTCCGCATTCAGCTTTGCTTGTTGGGTGATAACGCATTGACTCTGCAAATTGCCCTGATATTGCGAAAGGCATGGTGGCTGCTGAAAATAATACCCAACTGCTGCACAGTTTGTAACGGATTTAAAACCATGTGCTGAAGGTTTTCCAGCCGGTTAACAAAATTGATGGAACACCACGCGCGCTCGTACAACTACTATCCCTGGGACTTATGGCACAGTCATCCCAGAGGGTTCAATCATGTTCAAACACTTTGTAAGAAATGTCAGAAATGTGGGCATTTGGCCCGTTTGTGCCGGTCCATTACAAACCCTAGTTCCCCGGTGGTAAACAACCAACCTGCTGCTATTGAAGCACATGAATATATACTACACACAACCACTTCATACGCACGACCACCATTTCGCATACAGCTGTGTGTTAACCGCACTCCAGTACATTTCGAAATTGCCATGAGCAATGCAGTAATGTTGTGCAACGAACGAAATTGGTCACAAAGTTTGGCCCCGATTAGCCATACCAAAATGTGACATTGCTGAACTAAGTGAGACACGGCTGGCTGAGCAAGCGGAGCTGCACGAGGTTGGTGTTGGGTACGGGTTCTACTGGGTGGCAACTGTTAGCACCACTATCCATCCGTTTAAATGACCAGCTGGTGGGGTAGGCGACTGGCATCAGCCCACGACTGATGGCGCTACCACTACGACTTAGTAGTGGTAAATTTCCAACTGTTATTAGCACATATACTCCAACCATGTGTTATCCTGCTGACACGAAAGATAAGTTTTACGTTCATTTATTCTCCATGATACTGTCTGTGTCGAGCAGCGATCGAATATTCTTACTGGGTGATTTCAACGCGCGCGTTGGGTGATGCCGCGGCGTGGACAAACCTAATCCGTCCGTATGGCGTTGGCACACCTAATGGGAACGATGGCCGGCTGCTCTCATTGTGTGCCGCTAACGCCCTGACTATCACGAACGCAGTTTGAACTGTGTGCGAGTGATATAACTACTTAGACGAACCCACGGAGTAGTCAAGCCCACCTGTTTGACTATGTCGTCGTACTCCAGCGTGGCATGTGTGAAGTGCGCATGACACATGTACTGTGTGGAGCTGAGTGTAGCACTCATCACAAGTTAATGTGGACCAAATTGTACACATTTTTTCACAAATCTATGCATTGCTGACTTGCCGTGCACAAGCGCAGATTTAATGTTGTCTTCCTAGGTACTGTAAAGAAAAAGATGGAACTGGCGAAGGCCATGCTACCCGCCTTCACGCTGTAGAATCTATCGGCTCAATGAACGGTCTGTGGCATCACATCTGTAAGCATATGACTGCTGCGGAGGAGCAAACCATGGGGCGCGTCAACTAGAAGCAGTCCGATTGGTTTCACAACAACTATGCAACCCACAGCGCATTGACGTCGGAGACGATTGCAGAATTCGTTGTGCATGTGGACGACCCTGTTGACTCCGAGATGGAGAGTCTTTACGAAAACTCCGGCGGCGATTTACTCGAGAGGTCCGTCCCATCAAGAATGCATAGTGAAAAGAAAGGGTGAAGCAGCTGGAATGCTGCGCCGAAGGCCGCCATCATAGGGATTTCTTTAATACCTTGAAGTCGTTGTATGCTTCCATGTGTTGCAACCGTTGATGACGCCGCTGGATATACTTCAGGCGCTGTCTGCACACAGACGGCAAACGTAATGCTGATCTGGTGAACGCCCTCTGAGTGTCCGTTGAACAATCGTTCAGAGATTGACTGAGCTACGTTGCACGAGTTGTAACAACAATAGATGAGGATGTATCGTGCCGACACCAAAACTGGATTAGACGCAGAGCAGAGCAAATGCGCCGGACCCAAAGGGATACCGCCGGAATTGTTGAAACACAATGGATGGGCTTTGATGCATGCGCTGCACCACTTGGTGCAACGCTTGTGGTATGAAAAAGGGGTGATAGCTGACTTGAAGGCCCTTTACTACCATTGCACTACAATAAAAGGCAGAAAGTAATGTACCAGCAATTATTGTGGTATGAACTTGCTAAATTGTGTGGGGATTGTGATAGCCTGAATAATGCTCAACCGTTTGTCCAGGCATTCTCAACCTTTATTAAGCCGTGGCCTCCTTTTTAACCTTCCTTTTCTCATGGCCCCCACCCTTGATCGCCAGAATTTCAGCAATCCGCAACACCTAACAGAAGTAAATCTGTGATTTCCACTGGTCATATTGGTATATCTTGTTATGATGGTAAAATTTATAATGCTGGTATCAGTACTGTTTCCGCTATAGACCACCCATTGTAACTTCCACAGCCTCCCGATGACACATTTTTCGGCAACATCACGCCATTTGTCTGTAATTAAATAAGTCATCATTAATATTTAAAATTGTATTTATTATTGTTGGCTTGTAACTTTAGTGCATGTCACGATTTAGGAGGTGTAGTAACTTCGTAACATGTTGAGATATGTGGGCCTTGAACCTAATTTCCGTGAGCAAACTTGCTTGTTTCTTGCTCCAGACTTGACAGCGAAACTCGAAGATCTCTTGCTGCGATGTCAAATCTGTTTCAATTTTTTCTTAGAAACCACTCAGATGAATCCACATTCAACTATGTGGATAGAAATTCAAAGAAAAATATTTAAGTTATTTTCCATAATCTACGATATCCGTTTAAAGGCATCAATCTTTATCCAAAAATTTCTTTTATATTGCGTGAATTTGGAGCTTGCTAGTGTGCCCCTTTGAGTCTCTATGAGACTTTCCTGAATGTAAACACCAACATTGCAGGGCTGTAGTTCAAATAAATCTATAATCCATTTCAGAATTTTCATGTATATCAGATCATGAAACCCGTTTTTCATTTCTTTTTGGAGTTGTTATAAATAACTGCCATAGTATCAAGTCCTCATCCATCAGCTCCTCGGTGACTGTAGTTAGAATTGAGGATTGTGAAAATTGCCGACGTCCAATCTACTGAGCATACACTTCCAGCTTTTTAAGAAAACTGATCATGACTTCTGTGCTCGAGATGAGATTACACAACGCTTTGAAGTTTTATTTAATAATTTGAGATTTTCTTTGACATCAGCCAGATAAAACACGTCTGGCTTAGCTCTTAACAATCTCATTCGTACTCAGTTCCAGAAAGGAATGTGATGATGGTGTCCCAGAGTGCAACAAAACAGCGATGGCAGTTTCCCTTGGAGAGCCATCTAACTTCCGTATGCAACAGTAGAACCTGAAAACCTTCACTGTTCTCCTCAGAGAAATGGAAATAAATTCCATACGTTTGTTGTGATATCTGAGATGAGTGAAACGTTCGAATGGCATTCCACCTATTCGAAGCTAATGAATCGTCTGGTAGTACAGTGTTGAAGACTTCCTCGACGCACCTAATGAGGTAGTACTGTTCTTAAAAGTGTCAGTCTGTATTTGACGGCTGCTCATTCAGCTGCGCTTGTGTAGATGGGATTTTCAGTTATCCAAGTCGACCGGCAATGAAATCACTGAAAACGGTTAATTGCTCCATTTCCTATGCGATTCCGATTGAACTGATCTCGTTTCCGAAAACCCAGTCGCGGACAAAAGCAGAAGTTGAGGAAGTTGATGCTAAAACGAGTTGGAGAACCAGCTGTGAAAATCAACATGTATATATAAGTCAACTAAGTAAAGCACAAGTTCTAGAATAGCTAGATCAGATGGTGAAATCAGCAGGTTGATCATATTTGGACCAATGAGCAGAGGTGCATGCGTCACGTGACAGAATGAGAAGTGTCCTGAAAACGTTCTAACACTTCTGCTGTACAATGTTGGCACAAATCGCTCTCTAATGGAAATAAGGGGTCTTCTAGGGAGATCATACCCTTCTCCAGACACTACTCCTTGTGTGACTGAGGCCACGCTGCAAGATAACGGCGTCGAGTTGGTTTGCATCAGCAGGACGCCAGCACAGTGTACCGACGCTTCGCTGGCACACAACACCAAGGGTCGCGTGTGGGCTCAGTGTACCGCGAGGACGCCCACCCTACGCGGATTCGAACCGGTGACCTAAGGATTGCAAGCCAGGTGTGCAATCCTTTCGGGCACCGGCCGACTGATGGTAGTACAGTCTACGTATGGATATTAGGCTCCTGGAATCGATACACGTTCCAAGAGGACACAAGCAAAATAGTGAGTTGCTTTGAGGATGGTTCAGAGTTGAGCGACCGTGCATGACACAATAAAAGTCAAAAGCGTAGGGTCGCATTTTTCTTGCAATTAGGCGAACCTGGCCCGCACCAAGCACGGTAAACTATTCGGCGTTTGAAACTAATCATCGCTGCCCTTGAGAGGAACCCAGGTGCTCTAGTGGTCGGTGATGCACACCGAAACGCTACTGCTGCTTTTTCTGATTTTGGTTCGATGCGCAATGAATAGGACCATTACACTGATAACAAAACACAAGTCAATACTGTCAAAAATGTTTTGCGGTTTCCGTCACACTTACTAATGGTCATTTTGCTTCGAGAATCGTGTATGAGGAAAGGCCCATAGGGTACCATTTCCACCTAATAGTACCTAATCACATGACAAAATAGAGTTGTGCTTGTGCATGTCAGTTGGACCGATTGAGTTGGATGTTTCCAGCTATTCAGTTTCCGAACAACCTCATTGTGACCAAGTGGACTCCTCTCCAACAATGGTCTTAAAATCAGTGTTATGCAGTGACCTATAGACAAAATGATAGAAATGCGCAAGCGCCTTGTTAGACAAAATGAGTTTGCCTCCCGTTTCGGTGCCAGATCATAGAAGAAGATGATAGAGGACAGAAAATAAAGTGAATGAACATATCACTCATAGTGAACAAGGACAATGATGCAAATGTACATAGGAAATCATCGAAGTCAGTGCAAAGCTAACAGGGGGACAATTTGTCGACTGAGGTAGTGAAAACAGAGGGAGGAATCTATGCGAAAAGATCGTCATCTTCCTGAAAAGTAGAAACAGAGTTGTTGTGACCAATGGAGTCGGATTTGGAAGAAAGTACCGTTTCGGTCGGGAGCGACTGAAATTGCAAATGGTGCGCCAGCTGAGACATTACGCTACGCGTCCCGATTCCCTCGAGTAAATCGCTAGCTTCCTGACGCAGAGCATCAGCCCGTTCAGATAGTAGCATCTTAGCGGACTGGATTAACTCGGTAGCAGAGCGCCGGGAAAGAAAGGGAGACATACGGCTGGTCAGATCATGGGGTGAAGCGGAAGCGATGTCCTTGAGGGTGCAAAACCCACAACTGTATAGCTGACGAGCGCGACCCTGTCGAAAAAAGAAAAACAAAAGAAACGGAGAGGTAACTTAAATGAATCCATTTAATGGGGGACGTGAGGAGAAAGGGGCATTTCGACAGATTAGGGGATAGAAAATCCATAACCCACAATAAGATCTGGATGAAAAAGTAAAGAAATAGTTGGTATCTATGACCAACAAGTCAGTTTACAAGTTAAGCATAAGCAAGGGTCCAGTGTTGGTGGTAAGAGCCACAAGTTTTGTACCTTGAATCGAGTGAGGCGCAGTGAGCGGAACGGAAGTGGTATGATGAGATGAAAACAAGAGAGACGAACAACAAGTACATACCTGCATGATCTGAGCTCCACTCAAGGCGTGCCGAGTGATCGCAATGGGACACAACATTGAGTACATGTGAAAAATCCTAATAATAATCTCGTGGTACTAGGAAGCAACATGCAAGCACACATCGAACAAAATAACGCTTGATACCACGCGGACAACCTTAGAGTTCGACTTATCTGGATAAGGAATAAGCAAGAGAGAACGGCAAAGAGCTGACGAAGGTATGCTATAAGTAACGAAGAGTATAAACACGGGAAGGGATCCGTGTAGAGTGAAGTAACCTATATCTCCTGGGTTCGAGTCCCTGCTCTGGTATAGATTGGGGCAGCCAGGAGTGTCTCAGCAGACGCACAGCAGTGAAGCATCCACCCAGAGTAGTGATGCAGTACTGAACTCTCATCCTAAGGACACGGTAAAAATACGAACGGAAAATGAGTTACTCTTAAGATGCATGACCTGAAGTAGATGAGGAGCGGTCGCGAATGGCAAAAATTCTGCCGGCACACTATACTAGGTGGCAATTAGCAAAACTAGGTATTCAGTGACACAGCGCGAGGTAAAGTTAAACTTAGTCACCGCCGCCCGATTGCCTATCCCGTGGATGTATTGTCAGTACACTATTTGTGGAAATTTCCGCATCATTCACTTTCATTTCTGATTCTGCAATTGCTGAATGGTGTGGTAACATTATCCAGAATTCAAAGTGCTGGATTGCAAATTCCGCATTACGAGTTTACGTCGCTTGTACGTAATTGTTCAAAAGTGCCGAATAAATCACCTTGTGAGTCCTACTTAAAAATAGTTGGACACAGGCATATGTGCCAGATTTCATACTTCGTGTGTCGAATTACCTGGCGATTCCAATCCTTTTTTGCGCTTCATCCAAGACGATTCCGTCCAAACTTTGTGCAACAATTGTCAAGGTCGAAGGCAACCAAGGAAATGCATAACCTCTACCGAGCCAAACAGTTCCAAAAACGGTTAAATGTGAGCAGTTCTAGACATTGTCACACAAAATGGCTTAGATTCCATCCGAGATTCAACCTAGCCTTCCTTCCCTTCTCCTTCGCTAGTGACTCATTACCTAGCCATCCTAATTTTGCCAGACGCACGGCACTAGCTGAGGCTCATGATCGACTGACTTTGCACCCTGCTAGCTCTCACGACGCAGTTGATGAATGTTCAGTGATTGAGGAGCTATGGAAAAGTCAACGACAGAAGTCACAAAACGAAGAGAAGCTCCCCGTTCCTGATCAACAAGCCAGGTCAAGCAATGCTCGAGGTTACCTTCCTGCTGTAGAAACCGCTTCGGGTGACAAAAAGCGATAAAATTTGTTGGTTTTCACGCGCTTGAGTCCACCAACCCAAGTCTTCAGACACATTATGATCCTGACGCTGAATTTTTACAGAGCTTTGTTGATAGGATCCTCGATGTGGTTGAGGACGGACTGAAATTGAGGCAAGTTATCCGCCTCAGCAAAAACACTACTGAGGACAGGTTTATGCGAGTAATTTTTGCCGTTGAGTTCAACTGGAGGCTAACAATGTCTCGGCAAAGTAGTCTGAGGGTACATATTCGTCCGGATATAGATCCAACTGACCGGGAGCACATTAAGTGCGCCATCAGGAACACCGGTCTGAGGCAAACAATTGTTTTCAATGATTCATCTACGGGCCAGTACAAGCATATTAGGTTAAACTACAGAGGGAAGGATAATGATTGGTTCGGTGGTTTGTTCTGAAATAACTCGGTCAATGATTAGACAGCGAATAGTTCGCCGCTGTCTCATTCACGCAGATCGATTGAGGCTTACGTAATCACAATGCCGGAGCCGATATCAGGGTGACGGCTAGGCTGATGGCTGTTCGGCCAGGGCAGGTATAGAGATTGAACACTCTTTTTTGTGAGCAAAGTGGGGGCTGGAATATGCGGATCGAATTGGCCTTTGCAGTGGCGAGCATCCTTAACCGCGTACCTTTCGATTTGCTCGTTGGAACCTGATAAATCACAGTAAAGACATTCGGGCTGAAGTGGCGAACCGGTGAGGGGGAAACAAACCTGTATCGTGAATATTCCGGTGATTATAACACGAATGCGAATAAATTGGTCACTCACTCTTCAGGCACGCCCGATAGTTCCTACCGCATCACGCGTGTAGCCATTGCCAACGTCTTATGAACAAACGCGATGAGTTGTGTCGCTAGGTTGCCTTCGAGCGACCAGATGTAAGGGGGCACGCAGAGACGAGGCGGAACGATGAGATATTTACCCAGGAACGTGAGCATAATGACTGCTCGCACTTCCGCTATGGCAGGACATCGGATACCCGTGGTCGTGTTTTGCTCCACACCCGGTCTTCTCTGTGTGGAAGATTTGTGAGCACTAACTGAAGCGAAGATAGCCTATATGGGCAGTTATGGAGCTCGATGCGCCGCAGGCGCGGACACGTGCCCGTGAGTGCATTGTATCGTAGACCACTGAGTCGTTATTAGAATTGGCTGTCGCATCTCCGGGACCACGTGAGTCGGCCTAATTTTCTACTCGCAAGCGATTGCAATTGCTCTCGAATGGGATAACCTAATTTCAACTTATTACCGGAGATTTTGAAAGCGAAGCAAAGTCCTTGAAACTGGGGCAGCCAACACTCAACTGAATAATGCTCAGACGTGGTGTTAACCAGCTGTAAGCAACATGTGTATGAAATTCGGATCCTAGAGGCTCTTGCAGCAAGCGACTACTCAGTTCTTATTGTCAATATTGAGTCACTGGTGCAGCAACCCTACGCAGCCCAGCCAGCTTACAACTACTGGAAGACGGATTTCGACGGCATGACTCGAGACGCAATCTGCATCTGCTGAAGCTTGCTGCTCAATTATTGAAGATGGAGTAAAATCTTTGTGTAACCGGTTTGTGACTGCCGTGTCAGAAAGTCGCACCGGTCAAGCCATATTGGTTCGACAAGGATTATGGTCAACTGTTTAGACGGCGCTGCAGATCGCACGACAAATTCCCTGCCTCTGGCTCGGCCGACAGCCAAGAGGTTTATAAAAGGCAGTGAAACATTTACGTCGGCATTTCGAAGAACAGCCTGCAAATCCGCCCCAAGAAAATCTTTGCAATCATGAAGCGACACATGAAGCCGGCAGGTGACCTGCCAGTGATGGAGGGTGCGGACCGACAGTGCTCAAACTCCGGCGCTGAGCGTGCGTCCGCACTGGCCGCGCGCTTGCTTCCGCGTTCGCAAATTACCAGCTGTATGTACCGAGTTCGACCGTCTGGATTGTGGTGTGGAAAAGATGCGTCAACTAATCGATAACCTTGACAGCACAATGCCTGCTGGGCCTGACCAGCTCCAGCCCCTGATTCTCAAGGCCCCATCAGCCATTACCTCGCCCGTCATAAGCGATTTGTAAAGCGCGTCACTGTCCGAAGGTACCTTACTGATTGATCGTAAATGCTCAGTGGTAAGACGAATTCCGAAGGGCGGTGATCCCAGCAAAGTACACAAGTACAGGCCAATTTGTTTGACACCCATTTTGGCCAAGGTTGCAGAGATGATTGTGAAGAACAGCTGGTTACAGCTGTTCCCATCAAAAGATCACCTGATGCTCGCACAGCACGGTTCCATGCCAGGCCGTCCAAGCAGCACTAATCTGCTATAGACGAGGCACGAATGGTTGCAGGCAGTGAACCAGGGGACGTCTGTCGATGTAATCGATTTCAACAAAGCGTTCGAGGTTCTCCTTCACAAGCTGAAAATGTGCGATGTTTGCAGCTCACTGCACCAGTAAATCCGCGAATTTTTCGTTGGACCAAAATGGAGGCCATACGACGATAGCAATCTGACTGACTGGTATCCTTCGGCCATTGGCGTACTCCGAAGCATGGTACTGGGGCCTACATTATTCCTGATTAATATCAACGATCTACCTCCACTTCTTTGGTTACCGTGTGCCTTACTTGCAAACGACCTGAAGATGTGGAGAGTGATAGACTCTTCAGACGACTGTAGCCTACCTCAGCAACACTACAACTGCCTTTCCATGTGGCCTGCAGAAGTCCGCCTCCCAGACAACCGATTCAAGTCGGTATTCATGAGCCTTGGTAAGAGTAGTGATGACCTAACCTTTAATCTTGATTCCCAGCTGCAACATCCCGCCAATGTTAGAGTACGGCCCGCCCGCCTATTGCCCGACCATTCGAGGCGAGGCACAGAGGATCAAACGGGTCCAACAGGTCGCTAACAGAATCATCTCCAGATTGAGGTGCTTACCGTACGAAGAGAGATGCCAGAGGCTGGGACCGTACACCCTGGGCTATCGTCAGTTGCGAGTCGAAGTCATCATGATCTACCGAATTTTACATGCAGGCGACTTCCCCATGCTCTAAGGCCACTGCTTCACCTGCGAACACCTTGCAGTACACGTGGACACTAGTACATGCTTGTGGTTCCAGAGGTGAAGCGAGTTCCCCATCCCCTGTGCTTTGAAAAGAGAGTCATAATTGTTTGGAACAGTTTGCCGGAGTATACAGTGCAATCAAACGCAGTGAAGAAATTCAAAAGATTGTTCGACGTGCATTTTCCAATATTAGATTGTGAGAACGATTACCTATTGATAATGACATCTCACATTTGTGAGTCTCGAGTTACTGTGAGTTATACGTTATTTTACGATCTCGTGTGAGAACTTGAAAGGCGATCAGCGTGTTGACAGGTCATGAATAGGTTTTATAACGTTCTGGATCATATTTGGATGGAGTTGTACAGATCTAAATGTTTACTGGTTCACATAATGCAGTAGTAAGTATTTTGCAACGTATCGGATCGTCTGGGACAGCGCAATCGCGATGCGTAACTCGACCTCAATTACTGGTCACAAAGTGGCCAATCAGCCACAGCCTTATACAATAAGAACGAGAGAGGGATCAATGTGGGCAAATTATGGAGAAATAAGAAGACTATTGGGTGGTTGTGGGATCCAAATGGGAAACCTTTTGAGCACATGCAGTTAAGTACAATAAACTGGATCGTAAAGCTATGCCAAAGAACGATAATTTTTCGCTATTGTCACGAAGTCTAATGGCAGCACTAGTGCGGTCGAGCTTACGCGTTTTACTCCGGGTAATTCCATCAGAGGGAGTAGTTCGCTGGATACGCAGTAAGAGAGTCGTGTGGCAAATTCGGGAAGTAAGTGAGCAAATGCCCATAATTCTTCGTCCGTCGAATATTCGCTGGCAAGTGCGTGTGCTAGAGAGCTGGCCAATGCGGCGGCCGAGGCCAGAAGAGATTGAAGTGATCCACGCGATATTTTGTAGCGATCAGCTACTTGCCAGATGGGTACGGTTGAGCTGGTTTGCCATAATTCCGAAAGAGCCAGCGCCACGTACAGTCGCCGAAGGGGTCTTTCATCGAGTTTCTGCAGCGTAGAAGTGGCAATGAAGACCATTACTAAGTGCAGTACACTTGTTTGTGTCTAATAGAAAAACTGCCAGCATCTACCTTTCGGATGGGATGACCAGTAGCCTTCCACAAGACATAACCTTCAGGGAAGCCCAAGAGCGAGACAATGTTGGCTTGTGCAGGCGGAAGCAGATCCAGACGGCTATAAAGCACGCTCCAGTCCACATGGATCTGATCTACCACGTCCGGTGGGGCAACTAGGTAGAGAAGATGTAAAGGACCGCTGGTGTTGAGAGCGCGAGAAGCTATGCGTAAATCAGACAGGAGAGAACCAGCCAGATCCGTGTCAAGACCGCCTCTGACGGTAGCGCGTCCAAGCTTTGTTGCCTGAAAATGATTGTGAAGGAAATTGGACAACGCGTCCACAGAAAAATGCCGTAACAAGGCGAAAATAAGAAGCAGTGCCATAAAAAATACCACAATCCGTAACTGCATGCATCAAGCAAGAGTTAACTGGGAAAAACAGCTTGTATTTCGGTGCACATCACATCATCATTATACAAGTTGCTAAAAGTGGGAAACACATCACCCATTGTGCCGCAATACATGAGAAAGGAAAACGGACGCAGCACGGGCATACCAACTGAGCCAGCAGTAACCGATGGACATCGTTCCGAAGAACTAGCAAGCGGCCATTGTGTCAAAAAATTATATTATTTACCAGAAATGCGCCTGTAGTTGGGGGAAGGATAGACTGGAGGGAAAAAGAAACTCAAAACACAAACGTAATTGAGGTCGGGCCATCGCTGTGCCAAATAGTGTATTCAAGCAAACGTCCTGGGATCCCAGCCTGGTAGTCGGGAAACAACAACGGATACCAACTTCGAAGTGAGAGTTTTCATTCCGCTCGACCAAGTCATCGCTTGGCCTCCGCTCTTCTTCTTCTATCCAGACCCCGGAGGCGCAAACGACGCAAGTCGCTGGAGTTGGTATGCTGGCATAGGTAACACGTCGCCTGGCCATCGGAGTGTGGTGTGTGATATGGTGGTACTTAGCGGTTCACTCGCTCTTCTTGCATCAAATACGCGAAGGCGAACAAGATCACTGCTCACGTAGTGTTTCAACCAGACATGAGCCAAACTTAGATGCCCCCTTAGGTGTGTCGATAGAACAGGTTTCGAAACCGTATCGGAGGGCTGAACGCATTCAAGGCGACAGTGGTATGCCGCCGATATATATATATATATATATATATATATATATATATATATTCTCCATTGTACACAAGAAATACCATCGAAGGCCCGATCGATTTGTACAACTAGCAATTATCTGACCTTGTGGGTGATAGTTGCATTAATGACTAAATTGGTCTGCTGTCCGATAGTGCCACCAGTGCAACGGGGCAGACTGAAATCTAAGAGAATTGTCACAAGTCAATAAACCTTTTTATGCACCCATAAAGGGTGAATTTGCAGCTGCAACACCCACGCAATCGAAACGGTAAAGCGAACGACACTGGATTACAGTGCTGGATTCCACATTTTCTTCCGGGTTACTCTGTTATACGCGATTATTCTGTGTAAAATATGCACCAATATTTTTCTTTTGGTGTATTCTTCAATCTATGCAAATTAGTTGGATGTTCTCTGGCTAATTTCGGAGTTCTCATTGATTACCCCAAATGCCGTCTGTGTCCGCCTTCTTGCATTTGTTCTACGGTAATCAGCCATCAGGACCACCACACCGGTAACCCAAAACGAAGCGTTTTGTGACAATCAAATGTGTGCTAAGGTATTAAAAGCAGGGTTGAGTTGTAGAAATTGCCAAGACCGGTAGCATTTCAAAGGCGTCAAGGTCTGTAGAACCGACATAAAGGAATACAATACGCCGGGTTCACTTTGGAGCTGTCCGAGGTACACAACGATTCCACTACTAAAATGTGTAGTAGCTTTAACACGAAAGTACGACAGCCTAGTCGTCGAAACTGAACATCGTTCGAATGCAAAAATTGCTTTGCTCGAAGCGAAAATAGCGCATCTCGTACCTCATCCGCCTCCCTCAATTGCTGCCTCGAAACCAATGAAAAGAGCCAGGCGTTCAAACAGCCGCGCAGTACTAGAAATTGTGGGAACCACGAACCAAGTTGTCATCGCGACAGATAGAAGCATGCTTAGCCTCATGGGCCATATCCTCTTATCCAATGTATCGACTGACGTAACATTGATAAGATCGACTCTTCCGATTGACCAACGAAATCCGAAGCGATCTAAAGACCTATTCACCTATGCAACGGTTGCTGCTAGGTATAATCGAAGTGCGACCTCAGTAACTTCACCCAGTACAGAAGCAAAATGAGTCAAGGATCAGGTGCAACCTGCACAGACATCACTAAATCCATTGCTAACCATGCTTTCCACATCACCGAAGACTAGGCAGAACTACGGGGCATTGACACTTATATGCGCCAACGTTCCTGAGTCCGAGGCAAACTCCTTAAGGGGTAAACAGCTAGATGATTTAAAGCAATGGAATTTCCTTGGTGATAAAATGGGAGCTCAAACCAGTTCGACTAATATAATGCGCATCACTAGACATCCAACCTCGAATCATTATGGGGAGTCCCGGCTAATGCGAGTAACATTGGGATAAACAGGTGATGTCGAAACGGTGCTTTTGTCGGCATACCGCCTGCGAACTGAAAACAGTGGAATGCGCATATTTCCGGATGTTCCCTGGAGCGAACGCCAGCGGGACAAAAATAATTCAAACGACCACCACACGGAGAGCAGCAAAAAATTATTTTTGTTCCTGGCGTGCCCGAGCTACTGACAACGAGCAACGAGGAAGCTCATGACCTGGAAGAATGGTGTTACATCCGTGAAGCTCTCTGTGCAGGCGATGTCATACTTCAGTCCATTACACGATTACCCGTGTCTCCAAACTAGAGAGGGAGTGGCCCGATGATATTGAAATTAACGGTGCAATCACAACAGATGACGGTGAACTTAATCCGTAGCTGGCAGTTATTATGTAACACACTTTCTTCAAAACTACGGCTGAAGATAGCAGTTAAAGAGTCGCATCGACTCGCTGTTCTCACGGAAACGACAAGACCCTTGACACAATATAACCACAACAATGATTCAGAAGTCTGTGCGTTAAAACCCGTATCTATCGAGAAGGCTGCCGATGGACTACATACCGCAAGTGCAACTGAGAACAAAAACAGATTACATTCTTATAGAGATTAAACAACTCACCCAAAAGACACTTCGGTCGGCACAAATCCACACCATTCATGTGCTCCTAGTCAACAGCTTTTGACATCCGAGAATATTTCTTGTATGTACACCAACGCTCAAGGCTTACTGAGTAAACTTTTCGAAATGCGGTTACGTCAGGGATCCAAGGCTTGCGACCTCATCGCTATAATGGAGACATGGTTACACCCTGGCATAAACGACATGGAGACCGCACTGCCAGGCATGTCCATTGTTCGGCACGACTGACCCACCAAAGGTGGAGGGTGGCTCCGTACTTCACAATGACCTCCTATGTGAGCTTATAGAGGATCCAGTCAGCACGGTGCAAGAATCCCTTTAGTGCCGTCTACGTTTAAAAGGCGACGACATCTGCGTGGTGGCAGTCATTTACCGTCCTCCTTCCTCTACGCAAGAGATGAACTCCCATCTGGCATCCGCAATAAGGAGGATGATAAACACAACTTGCAGTCTCACATTCTCATTACTGGCGATTTCAACATGCACGCTCTGGAATCCCAAGCAGCTCCCGAAGAACAGTTTAAGGCCGATCTGCAACAGTTCGTCTCTAGTTACATGCTGTATGGTCACATCAACACTCCCACTCGATTCCGAGAAAAAGATAAGTCATTGATACTGAATCGGATATTCACCAAAGAAGAACTAATGGTCGAGAGGGTGAGCGTCAACGTCTCATTGGGCCGCGGCGATCATGCAGCACTTCACTTCAAATACATTTGCCATGCAGAACAGCCAGTGGAAATGGTTGATGCAAACCAGAATGTATGTACGCTACGACATAGTAGCTCGACTAGGTGAGACAGCTAAGTTGACATTTCTGGCAGACGAGGCATCAGCTAGTGCATTGGAAAATTTCGTCCGCCAGTTTAGCTCTCTGGTTGCTGAAGCGTCAACGACTAAGGTTTTCCGCCTGAGAAACGTGATCTCGTTTCCGCGAAGCAAAAACGCAAGCGTATAGCAGTGGGAAACTCAACCTGGCATATCTACAAACCTTCCCCAAGCACCGAGAACTGGGTGGCCTATACCACCCAACGTAACCACTGTATTCAGCTTGTTCGCGAGGACAGAATGGCGTACCAACAGAAGTTGGCAATGCGTATGGCCTCAAATCACAAGCTTCTGTATCAACACGTCAACAGTCTATCTAAGGTGAAACGGGAAATTCCTCCTCTTCGAACAGCGGACGGACCCAGACGGACACCGAAGGAGGCGGCGAATACCCTGCACCTAGAATATGCCGCAACATTTCAGTGCGACCACTGGCCACCTAAATCTCTGGAGATGGTTGTTTTATCCCCAAAAATCACTAACATATCCTTCACAGCAGAAGTTGTACTAAAGAAGCCGTTGAGTATGCGCAAGCACAGCTCTTCTGGAGTTGAGTATATACACACGAAATCGCTAGCGGCAGTAGGAGAGAGTTTAGTTGAGAATTTGGATAGGTTCTTTCAACACTGTTTTGAAGTATTGTACGTGCTCGACATGCGGAAACACGGGATGATTACTTCTATTTACAAAAAAGGCATCGTTCCAATACAACCAACTATCGTCCCATAAGGTTACCACCGGTTCTTTCAAAGGTCATGGAAGCTATTATTTCTGATGCGCTAACCACCTACTTGGAAGAGTGTAACTACATCGCACCGGACGTCTTCATGAGCAAATGGGAGTGCAAACAGCTGGACGAATCCATCAACAGCTTGGTTTACTACGGTCGATATGTAGACGACATAAGTCGTATCGTGGATAATGGAGTGTGCGTTGGTGATAGATTGGCCCACTTCACCTCTAACCATAGCAACTTAACTTCACTATCTAACTAGAACGTAACGACTCGTTGGCATTTTTAGATGCCCAATTTAATAGGGCATCGGACGAGTCAGTGTGGAGGAGGGTGCACAGAAAGGAAACGTGGAATGGACAATACATCCATTTCGCTAGCTTTGTTCCGATAAGTCAAAAATAGGGAGCTCGTCTGTTGCGTAACGGAGAGAGTAAGGTGAATATGTACAGAATATACTCTGGTAGATGAACTGAGCTTTATCCGAAGCGTATTCGAGCGTAATGGGTACCCTGAAAAGTTCATCCGGAGGCACATAGACCCGCGATTGTCAAAGCTCAAATCCGTTTCCGCGGAGAGGCGGATGACGTACTTAGCTTCACCATTCAGGGGTGATGTGATAACGGGACGGAACACCCGAAGTCTTTCCTTAGCGACAGGGAGAACGTATTCTGCTGATACTCTGCGCGTAAGCTTTATCTCAACACCCATTGTGCGCCAATAACTTAAAAACAGGATACCTCGGTCGCAGACCTCCTTCTGTGTGTACAAATTCTCTTGCTCGTGTCGAGTAAGGTATATTGGGAAAACGACCAGGCGACTGTCCGTTAGAGCTGCAAAGCATTGCCCAGCTTGGCTCTACAGCGGTGCAAAGAAGAATGTAAGGAGCGCAGTATTGTTGCATCTAGTAGACGCCGATCACCAAATCAACTAGCATGATGCATTCATACCAACCTACTGTGTCTCCGAACGTTACACACGCAGTCAGATGTCGCCTGCAGTCGACAGTAGAGACGATGACAATTAGGCTCCATAACCCGCACCTATATGCACAGAAAAAACTAGTCCATACTCTAACCCTACTTTGGCCACAGACCAGCGCGACTAACAATGATAGTCACGCCAGTTCAGCTGACCTCACATCCGTCAGAACAATCATGTAGTCTTATCGATTAGCTACTATGCTTCCTCAACTTACCGAATTTAATCGTATTGTTTATCACGGTCGACTACGTCAACGGACTTTGGCTAGTCTATAAAAGCACCAGGAACCCGGTTTTCGACCTTCTGGGTCTCGTCAGTGGTGCGCCTTCCAGCGTACCCCTGCCAGTTTCCGCTCCCATAACTTCCGGATGTCAGCAGATTGTGAGCCGCGCTATATTATGGTCAATTGTCAATCACCCAGATCTGTGGCTGTCATGCATGGCAAAGTGGCACTAGCGGTCGGCATCTGGATGTCATGGGGGCGGAACTAGGCAGTTGTTCGCTGGAAGACGCACCACTGACGGTCGAAACACCGGTGCTATTCCAGACTATCTAAAGCCTGTTTGGAATCGACTGTGATGAGCTTTCACTAATCATACCAAATCTCAACGACTCATTAGTTAAACCCATTGTGCCTACTCTAGCTTACTTTGTCGTGGTTGTATTCGCCTAATGAGGAAACCCTGAAAACAAGCTTGTTCACTACTTTCTGTTATTATCTTTCCTGTTGCTTCATGTCACCCCGCCAACGAATCCGATACACCACCCTGGTTAGAGGTTGCTTTCCAAGGTGTCTGACGCAACGATAGGAGTGAGAATGAATCAGTTGCTGGCTCACTCATGGAAAGGTTTCGCATAACCATGTGTCGATTAACTAGCCGCAGAATTCGTGTACTTTCAGTGGCGCTAGAAACTGCCAACTCTCGATCAGTCGATATACAACAGGGTACGCAGTGGATTCTAAGACTCTATCCATTGATACTCCAGTGTTACGGAGAGCTTAAAAATAAATCCCGGTGAAATCATTTTTTGCTCCAATTAAGTTAGTGAAAACTTCAGATATCCATCCAATATTCAAACGCTTCGACCTGGGACGACAAACGTGCACTGGAGGTGATGTGAATTCGTATTTGGTTCAGTCAAACCGTTCGCCAGTAACAGTTGATGTTGCATTCCTGAGTGGCATTAATGCTCTGCGAATCGCAAAGATAGTCGATTAGCAAGCACCTTCGACGTTAAGCACTTAATGGATGTCGAAACAGTGACTGACAGGCTGGTACGTCTGACAGCGTGGACAGTATCGAGATAACGAAGTGGTGCTGTGATCGAATGGAGTCCAGGAAAGCCTGTCCTTCGGTGGCTGCCATGTGACTCGGTGTGAACGTTTGTGTGGGAAGGCAGTGCTGCTAATAGACTGAGCAGTGAAGTGCTGAAGAAAGAGACTTCTATTGCCAGTACAACAAGCCTCAATCAAGAAACGACCTATGAGGTGATGTTCTGATAATAAATGGCTGACTTAAGCAATTGGGTCATTTGCAACATAGATGATATGCATACGCTGGCCAGTCAGATGAAAGTGGCTTGTGTAACTCCTCTTCACACCCTCCGAGTGATACAACAGGTCACATCGCATTGACCGATGTATAACAACTCCGATGGCGCTTCGAAGTCAAATGATATATTCGACCGTGTGCAGAGGGCCGTACTTCAAAAACAGACTTTGTAATTGCGCTGAGAGTGATTCCAAACCGAGTCATCGAATCGGCATCATCAGAGATACATGTATATGACCAACGCCATCCGGAACCGTCTGGTGGTTAAGGTATGCTAAAGCAATGTTGTATTTTATATGATCTTCGCAGACATAACAGTCGTCCACTCCAAGAAGCTGCAGAGTGGAAAAAGCCGTTGCTTGTTAACGGGTCTGACATTGTCAACGTACGAGATGGTAAGTTCCTTCCAAAAGGCGAGTCACGTATGCTGCCAACATTAGTTGCAAGGTCAGTGGTGGGCTCTTGCAAGTTCGCGATGGGGTTGGGATACAGAAAAGATAGAGTAATAGTGACTGACTTCATGGACACGATGCTGCCCGAAATAACATTGAGGAAAAGAAATGTTGCTAATGGGTCCCCACATTTATCTCGTTACCGGAACATCCAACCCACAATGAAGAGCAAGTATGCTAACGGAACTAACTACAGAGAAGGGTGTAGGTTCACGTAAAACCGGTCGCAATTAGTTTGGTAAGTCTAAAAACATCTGCGTATTTTTTGACCATTGGGTAATACATCGGTGAGTTGCTGGGCTTGTGGCGGACGGTGGCAAACCAGTGAGTATCAGGAATAAACGGCGGCGAGAGCGCTCTACGGACCGATCCAGGTGAGCACCCGTGAGAAAATAGGTGGAACAGAGGTTGTTTAACTCCAAGCACGCAAATGTAAAGTGCCCCCGTGAACAGAGCCCAATTGATTGTGGAGGGACGCAAGCCATTAGTGTGCTGGAAAATTTTACCAGTTGGACGGATGACCTAACTAATTAATGCGCAAATGGGAATTTAGCACATTTGCCAGAGTCAGATGAACTGGAATGGCCATTCATGCATCAAAACGAGAGCACCTCCGAAAACAGTGGGTATTGAAAAATGCCTAGCTTAATGTGTGTTGCCACGAAAACCGGTGGATAAAACCGGATGAGAAACAAAATGTATCATCCAACTCACTTGAAACTGCAATCTACCGATATCTCCTTGTAGCAGACGAACAGGTGACCGATGAGTAAATGCATTCTCAGATGTGGTTAGGAGAAGGTCATTTTTGATAAGCGTGAGCAGTTCAGCACGGACCACTCGTTCGACTATAGCAGGTTGCGCGGCGCTGGCCTGAATAGCAAACAGGGTTTTCTCCACAGCAGAACTAATATCGCAAAACGTGTTCGCAATCTGTGCAGATAAGGAATATTGGGCAGGTAGGGATTTGGTAACAGGAATAAGTGGGACGGGATGTGCAAACAAAAGCTACAATTTTTGAGAAAGAAAACGTGGGTATGACTCAGGGGATCCAAAAACCACACTCCGATAATGGGATGCTCATAGGGCTTATGGCGAGTGACCGTGTTTAGGTCTGAAACCGAGTATTTGCTTTGTGGATGCGGTTAATAATAGTCGATATAATCAACAATGTGGTGAGATGCAGCCTAGGAGAAACCTACTATCGCGATAAATAAAGTGAAATCAAAATGATGTCATGAACATCAGTTCAAAAGAGCACACGTAAAATTTTATTTGTGCATTAATACTTAATTTCGTTAAAAATTACAAAAGTATTTGGCAGCATGCACTCCAACGGGGTTAGGTTATAGACAGGAAGCGTTAAAAGCGGATAAGTCAAGTGAAGAAAACAAGCAGCGCATGAAAAGTGGCCCTGAAAAGTGTGACCTAAAAACGTGAAACGTTTGTCCTTGACGGTAATTTGACGATGAGGACACTTAAATGATAAAAAAACAAGAACGACAGAAACCGGGAGACATAAAGTACATAGTGCACACATTAGTAGGATGTTTGGTGCGGCATTACAAGCAAGTCATTCACTGCCACATACATAGCAAACAAATGGCACCTACTAAGAATGGCTGACGGCCTCCGGTTCCGGAATTGCCTAACGATGCGGCCTCCAAAGGACAGCAACAGCACGCCTGCGTCCACAGAGGGACCATTGGTGGCTTGCGCTACACCACCCACAGCTCCATCCACACACCCCATATCTAGTGTGAGCCGGAAGGAATAACAGCAGGAGATACGCGGATGGGAACCACGTTTCATCAACGGAGCCGACCCACACTCTACAGCATGCACAGCAACAGCGTTCCTGTTTAGCTAATTTGGGAATCATGCGTACCAGACGTACACAAGGCGGTGGTTGGGTCGTAGTCCACTCCACACTGGATGGAACAACATTTAGAGCCTAGCAGGGCCACGAGGACCGTGCACCTCGTGCTCTCAGCAACGATTCACAATCTTCTGGAACCAGTAATCGAGATGGTTGTTATACAGGCAGGCACGTTGTCAACATTCACATCAAGAGCAGTCACACCGTGGATACCAGACCACCAACACAGGATTTGAAGTAAAATAAACACGTAAAAATTGACAGCAGACGGACTACTAGGCGCGAACTGAAGCGGAGCCTGTGTGCTGACAAGGAGGTCTGGTGGACCAGTAGGGCTCAAGAAACGAAAGAGGCTGGAGCAACTCCAACTTCCAACTGATCACCACTGGTCCCAGAAAATCAGGCGTCAAGGAGGGAATCAGAGACAGCGCGGGTGCATTGAGAGACAATAAGGATCGACGTACAGCTCGTTGGGCGGAGCACTTTCGAGATCATCCCAACTGGCCGCCATCTTCCCGACCTCTTTCTACACAGGTGAGGCAGGATGAGTTATGGAGTTAGTTTAGAGGCTCCATTGGAGGCTGAGGTCCGAAACGCGATCGCAGCTGTTACTCGTTTTCGTGCTGCTAGCGCGGACTCTATCGCACCCGCACTGTTTCAGGATGGCGCTGAGGTACTGTAAAACACAGACATAACGGTTTAAGCAAGTGTGGAAGGTCGATATTATCCCAGCTAACTGTAATGGGTGGGGCAACTGCACCAGATGTGCTAATCACAGGGGTATTAGTCAAACGCCGAAAGGAACAAAAATACGAGCTTTAACTATTGATCATTCACACACTGCGGATCGGGAGTCCCGGGTTAGTGAAGAGCAAGTAGGTTTTCACCCAGGATGGGACTGTGTAGACTATAAATTTACTTTGTGACAGATGTCAAGACGGAGTCAAATGTGCCGTAAGGAAAGTGAGCTGTATTCCTCGACTTTAAGAGTGCATTCGGCTCAATCGATCACTTCATTTCTTCTATATGTTTTTACGGAAGTGTGTACCTAAGCAAGTTTGTGAACACCCTTCGTATCTTGTACGCGAACACCACAGGTCACATCAAGGTCTACTGTAACTTGTCGGATGTCAAGATTGTCCATTACCCATTTTTGATTAACTTCACAGAGGACTCATTCACGATGCAGGCACCGAGGTGCTGTCTGGTGGAAAAAGTTATCTAAATTGTGCGTGCCATAGTGTTTTGCTGGGTAACGGTGTTGGGTTGGCACAGTCAAACATGAATAAGCTATTTAAAGTGGTCACGTTATACAGCAAGGACTTTCAGAGTACAACTTTTGTTGCATAACTACTAGCCACTTGGTGACCAGTTAATTTTGGTAGAGAAGATCTCGATATAGTAGAAAATTCACTAACCTTGGTGACTGCAGTAGCAGCGATGCGCATGTGACTGCCATTTGTTTTTAGGTCTAGCGACGGTAATTCATTGTTTCCACAATTTCTTTTTGGCATCGCATCGGCGGACAGACATACATCATTGGACGCGGATTTTGAGCGGTTCTCCGAGCTGAATGATTATTGTGCAGACGTTTCGTTGCCTGACTAGGCAACATTACCAGTGCGGTTTTAGGGGCCTGGTTCGCAGTGCCTCGTAAGCGACATCAATGTCCAAGTGCTTATTGATCGAGTTCTGCTTTGAATGCCAGGCTTCAGTGAACTCACGTGCTTGCCGGCTTTTAGTCCTTCCGAGGATACTGGTATGCTCTATGTCGAATTGATGGTTCTCAGCATCCATGTGCACTGACATCAGGGAGTTCTGATCGTGGCGACGTATGGCTAGGCTGTGTTCGTGTAGTGTTGTGCCAAGCGGTCTCCCAGTCTGTACCACGTAGTACTTGTCGCAGTTCCGACAGCAGATCTGCTGTCGGAACTGTGCATATTCTCATTTATTTCATACATCATTGGATATATCTCGACGAGTACTCTTGAGCGGACAGATTCGTCAATATTAGTCTTAACTGTGAGGAATAATGGATGGAATTTACTGTGCATCTTGTGTGGTGAGTTCAGACCAGATGTTTGTGCAACTTTCTACATTTGTTATATGCTTTAAAAGTAAGGAACTCAGTTTTTCCTGTCTATATGGCTTTTTGAGGCTTTTTCAGTGATTTATCTTCCAACTCTTCTAGTATGTCTGGTTCGATAGTGCTCTTTGTGCTTATTCGAACTGGAAACCTTCACCGGAAACCTTAAAGTTGCATGTCGGATGTTGGATCACCCACTATGTAACACGCAGTCTCCATTGTGGCCTCGATTCATTTTGAAGGCAGTCTCTGTCATTTTGACGGCATCAGAAGTGAACGGTATCGGTGTAGTTCTCTCTCATCACTGCATTCCACGATGCGTTTCGCCCTGGTTTGTACTCAGCACGTAGTGATAGACTGATTGGAGCGGAACTGGGCACATAGTGGTTGGCGGCTATCGCCATGATCAGTAAGCCTTTAAGCTATGTGAGAATCGCTTGACACAGCAGCTAGAAGAAGATTGTTGGGTTTTATAGCACCCGAAGTTTGTCTCGGATCGTGGCACACAATCGTAATTGTGGCCTCGGTTGAGTTTGAAGTCGTCCTCTGCCATTCCGATCACTGGGAGCGTATCCGAGACGGAGGAGATCACTGCCCTCCAGTGCAGCGATGGGGGGAGATCAACACCGAAACGACTAGGACACAACAATTTCGGTTTTGTATACGTTTGTATTGTGACTAAGTTGCGCCATTGATAAGAGCTTTTTTAGATCAGGGCTTGGCTTTTTCATTAACAAATTGGAAGGATTGGAAAGTTAATTTGAAGCACACGTTGTGTGGAAGGATTGCGACACACAATCTCAAAGTGGACCGCGATTCCCATTGAAGTGAACCTTGGCCATTCGATCACTAGGATCGTAGCTGATGAAGCAGCAGCAAATTGGGTGTTGCTCGTCTGAAAACACTGCACTCCATGACGCGTTTCGAGGTTATTTCCTCTCATCAGACAGAGATAGGACGCATCGAACCTGGGACTATTGGGATGTTAGTTGTGACCGCTACCCTTAAGCCACCGGGTCACGACGGGATGACTGCGAGAAATAACCCGGGTCAGTGAATAAGTATGGTTAGTTCCAAAGGGTCAAAAGGACATGCTAGTGGTACGAAGAGCATGGAACTGTCCCAATTGATCAATGCCACAGGTCATTCAGATGCAAGGCATTACTCTGTTGCTGTTGACTCTAGTGATAATAGTTCGATTTGTCGGCTTTATCTTGAGTCCGTCCGCCAACAATGTTCAGACTGGCCGGTTAAAAACAGCCCGCCATGAGTCCGATAATTCCACTCTGTGTATTCTGCTTACGCAGTTAGTTAATTTGGCGATTCCTAACGCCTCAACTATTATTCATCGGTATATTGTTATTACTCCTCTCCTAATGATCGCTACATTGTCCTAGTCGATTTCGTGTCCCGAGTCTAGCGCGTGTACAGCTACCGCCGAATCTTTTTAGTAAGGCCTTGTATGTATTCAGACTCATTTCTTGGTGGACGCAAAATGTACCTCCTGTGTTCTGGGATTCCAGTGTGCAGTTCGCTCAGTGTCTGGCCTATGCACACATACGCATAGTCCATGCAACTAATTTTACAGACGCAATTGGTCGTCCAATCCTTTGGAAGTGGATCCTTTAAACGCACCAGTGCTGAACAAAGAGTTCGACCTCCTTGAAACACCGCCCGTTTCTTCTCCCTGTTTCGTACCAGCCTGATCGCTTCAGAAGTTCCCACTTTATAAGGGATCCGCACCGTCCCAATGCACTTCGCCGTACCTCGTGCAAATAAGTTTAGCGCTCTATGCAAATGACGTTTCACAACCGCCTGGGATAAGTACTTACTATTAATGTGTTCATTGCCTGTTTCCGGGTGGCCCTCCTGTCCTCTTTCTCTGTGTATCATCATTCATCATCATTATACACGTTGGCTGCGGGCGAAAAACACCTCAGCTATTAAGCCGCAATCCAAAAGACAAGG